TGCTTGCACGTAGTTCTATTAGAATACTTATTATAATGTTGTGCTACTTCATGAGCAATAACATGATGAATTATTAATTTAAATTTTATTATAGACCATTTAAAAATATTTAAAGACACAAAGAATATTCGATAAACATCATAAACCAAGTATAAGGAAGAATAAATAAAAATAGTAAAAATTGAAAAGCTAATATAAGGAAGAATATATAAAAATATCTCAAGTGAAATGAAAAACCAAGTAACGTGTAGTCAAGGATTGTTAATTATTACAATTGGGCCTTTGAGAGGAATGGTCAAGAACTTATCCCTAGAAATTCATACATCCGTATACATACACAATTATATACTTATAACCATTCACAGGATTTGATAAACAATGCATCAGTTCCTTATAATATTAAAAATAAAAGTAGCCATACAATTGTTAATTAAAATCAGTAGAACTTTTGCACCTTATGGAGAAACCTCTAACAAAAAGCACACGGAATAAAGGAATGAAGCTTTTGGGGTTTAACTTGTTGACTTTCTTTTATTAAAAGAAAATTTATTTTTTCTACTTCAACTGATTATAGATTTGTGCACTGGCGTACCCGGGGTCCTGCGGGGGCACCTGTCCACCCCCTCAACTTTTGAGATTTTTTTTTTTTTAAAATCACGTTTGATATCAATTGAAATCTAAATTTTAATTTAAATCAAAGTTAACAATTAATTTTAATAACATATTTCATGAAATCTATAACTGTTTTAACTTTTATCAAAATTTACTAAAAAATTGATTTTAATCTCTATCAAATAGGGGCAAAATCACAATAAATTTGAATTTCGATAACATGCTAATTTTAAAAATTCTCCGACGATCGTACGCTAATCGAATCTACAAATGGCTTATGTTATCTCAAAACTTATTTCAAGAACTACATTATGGGCTTATCGAATAGTCTTAACAAATATCGAAAATAGTTAAAAATACGTTAAACGTAAGTCTTAAAGAAAGACGCCTAACTCGCATTTTTTTAAAAAAAATTCAATTATTTCTTTAACATTTATTATTTTTGCGATACAAATTTCTCGATGTAATTTTCATCATTTTATGAGGAAGTTTTATATGGAATATAGCATCAAAAAATTTCAAAATTTTACATCCGAAAAAATTATATCCCATGTAAATTTTCGGATGCAAAATTAAATGGGGTATGATTTTTTTGGACGTAAATTTTCGATTGTAAAATTTCTCTCAACTTCTTTGCACGTTCAATTGTGCCCCCTAACTTTAATGCTCTGCGTCCGCCCTTGAATTTGTGGGCAAAAAGATGAATAAATTTTGCTAACGTAATTGCCTAGGATGAAGAACCAAAACAAAAGTCATAGAAACCATTAAACAATTCGAGAAATACGGAATAATATGTTGGAACATTACACACAATTACAGGACTCACAATTGTTTGAATTAGTGCAAAAGCGAGAAAAGCAATTACATGTAACTATCATGCATATATGTGTAAATGAATTCACGTGCCACCAAATTAATTTTGGTACACGTGACATGTAGTTATACTTATAAAAAACTACTACCTCACTAGATTTTGAAAAATTAAATTTCATGTTAATAACGTGTTATAAATTAAAGAGAGAGAGAGAGATAAATTAATAAATTTGTGTGTTTTAATAAATTTGTATGTTTTATTAACAAATGTTTGTCTTCAAGGGATATGAAGAACGGTGATAATGGTGCTAGGTCCAATTGTAAGCATGGTGGAGGCGGCGGTTCAATGGTTGTAAGAAATTTATGGCCTTCTAACGTTTTTCTTCTTGCAACGGCGATAGCATCGCCACATCTACCGCCTTCAAATCCTCAGGTAATTAAATCACTATTTCTTTGTGTCTTGCTATGTAAATCAAAAGTTGATTTTGTTTTGTTGTGTGAGCCCAAGTGGGAATGAATTTGTTGCAAATAAGGGGCATCCTTTTACATCTGTTCAAAGGAATGAGCTTGAAAGACAAACCATGATCTATAGGGCTTATTAGTGCAAAACGTCTCTACATTTGATCTTTAGTATGCAAAACATCCATACGTTTCAAATTTTTGCATTTTCACCCCGTGCTTGCGACCCTTCTCTTTCCTGCACCAACAAACCCTTCAATTTCCTATAAATTGGATTTTTTTTCCTTTCGATTATTTCTTATTTTTACACTTTTTGTACTCGATTAGATATGAATTTTAAAAAATGTTTCTCGGTATTGGTGTTTGAGTGCCGTGGCTGGTCATCTAGAAAGGTGTAAGCGAACGGATGCAAGAAATGGACGCTCTCAAGAAATGTAGTGCCCCATTACAAATACTGTGAGTGCCACTGGCAAAAAAGCTATCCCCGCACAAGAAAGCTTGTGGAAGTCAAGAATAACGTCACTGACAATAACAAGAAGAAAAACCCTATTTTATTTAATCATAAAATCGATCTAAGTATTTCTAAGCATCTAGCAAGAAATATGAGAGATGGGTTTTTACTATTTCTATATCCTCTAGTATTTCCCAATCTATTTTTTGGTTTCGTTTCGTGGTGAGGGTGGGGACGAGAGTGAAGGAGAGATGGAGATGGAGATGGGGAAGAAGAAGATATTTCTTTCCTTTTTTGACTTTTTAATTTAATTTATTTGGGACTTATTTGTACTTTTAAAAAAAAAATTGGAGAATGATTGCAATTTGTTTTTTATTTTTTTATCCTTTATCCTTTTTTTTTTTATTTAAATAGGAGAGTATATTTGTTATTTTACAATTTTTAATTGAAAAATTGGATAAAAATTGATGAAAATGACGTTTTCCACGAAACGTTGAACTATGGGTGAAAATGCAAAAAATTGAAACATGAAGATGTTTTGCACACTAAGAGTCAAACGTAGAGATGTTTTATGCTAATAAGCTTTTTACAAATATTTGCATTCTCGATCTTCATATTGGTCATTCTAATTTCGATTCCAATTATTCTCCTATCGAATACGTGAAAAACTTAACTTTACTAGTTGGTTAGTCTCAACACTTTGACAACTTACTTTTCTTTAGCCTTTTAAATATTTACAACCTTCTCTACAATTTCTGCCCTTCAACTAAGAATGCATGAATTATTCTAGAAAATATAAACTTAGAAAAATAAAAGAAAAGATAAATAGTAGCAAACGTCCACCATCTTTCACTTCTTCTGTAACCTTGTCTTCAACTTTTTTTCCCCCTTACAGTTACGTCCCCAACTTTTGATAAATGAGCGAGATTCATCCAAATTGATGGTTTCCATTTATTAATTCGTTGGTAATGAATTTTACTAGAATATTAGAAAATTTAGAGGTTAAAATTATTATTTTTAATATTCTTAATTAAATTTACAAAATGAAAAATTCAGAATAAAAAAAATAATTCAATAAAAAGAAAAAAAAAATCATCTTCTCCATCTCGACCCAACACAACACCTCACAATTGCCACACTACAACTACTACTACCACTACCATCACGCCAAATCCACCGCCACAAAATCAATGAGATCTCTCCCTATTCCTCTGATGGATCTAATTTACTTACTAATATTGAATGTGAAATGACAGTCCTTCATCTTAGACCTTTTACCATCAATAGGGTCCGTGTAATTGCAAGAATGGAATTGGATAGAAAGAAAATGAATTTCAGGGAATCGAATTGCCTAGAACTTGTTTTATTGGGAATTGTCATTTAATTGTGTTTGATTAGT